GTTTTTCAGTTAATGCCATGGTCTCTGGTTTATGAAATCAAGCACCTAGGCATGCAGACTGAAGCTGCAAAAGGGTGAAAAGGGTGGGCTGACATCATATTCAACCCCATGGTTTAAAAATGGAATACATCATGCAGTTTGTCCCATTTTAGCCCCCAAACACTCCATAATGATCCTCATAAGAAAATGATTTACTGGCTTTTGTGATTTTGTGGAAAATCATTATACAAATTTATTGCTTTTGTTTTAAAGTTGCTGGCTATTACTTTTTAAATTTACATACAAGCGAATGCAGCGTCATGTTTGAGAGATGTGAGTTTGCCAGCGCCGAAAGATGCCAGCTCACACTAAACAAAGAAAGACCGATGCACCATTGATCAAATGGACTTTTTAACAAGACTTGGACTTGTAAGAATGCGTTTACTCAAATCAGAGGCAAAACCGCATGCTTAGTTTGTGGAGAGCTGATTGTGTGTGTAACGATTACAATCACATTCTCCATTATGAAAGTAAGCACACACCGACATACAAGCTCTTGACTGATGCAGAGTGCGGACAGACATCTGAACCTTTGCTAGCAAAGCTGCAAAAGCAACAAGGACTTTTTACCAAGCTTTACACATCCAGGGATGGAACTTTCAAGACCAGTTTTGTGATTTCCCACAAAATTGCAAGTTTATCAAAGAATGTTTGGTGGCGCTTAACTTTAAAAAAAAAAAGCAGACAGTTTAGTTTGTTTTCTCCTTGGCTCCAGATGAGAGCTCTGATGTTCACCACACACCTCAGTTACTCATCTTTGTACATGTGGTAACGAAAGAGTCTGAGATTACAGAGGAGCTGGCAGCAATGCACTCAGTGAAACAGACTCTGATAGTAAGTGAATTGTTCATGGAGGTTGAAAATGGACAAACTGGTATTGCAGCCAATGGCTATCCAAATCTGACAGGGAAAATTTTCAGACTTTTGAAGTGGATGCAAGATAAAGAGACATGAAATGACAGCAGGACTGAAACTGGAAGTGTTGTGTGAGTCAGTGCTAAATATTAACCATGTTGTTGATGTGGTAACAAAAATAGTTACCTTTACCACAAGCACTTTTGATTCACTTCTGGCAGATCACTCTCAAATAGAAGAACTTTCCACACATGGTCAGAGACATGCTCAGAAGATGTGGGTTCTCTTTGGATCTATCTTCATATGAGAACAAACAATACAGATCCTCTCTCAGCGGTGAGCATGTGTACACTGTCTTTAAAATTCCCGCCCAAGCAAAACAGAAATAGCACTTTGGATAAAGTTAAAAGTCTCTGAAATTTTGCAAAAATATGCACATTTTATTCACAATTGTTTTGGGGGATGTTGATTAAATAACAATAAAATGCTGGGAGACTTCAACGCTCATGTGGGCAACAGCAATGAGACCTGGAGGGGTGTGATTGAGAGGAACGGCCTCCTGGATCTGAACCCAAGCGGTGTTTTGTGGTTGGACTTATGTGCAAACCACAGTTTGTCCATAACAAACAGCCTTATGTTGTCCATAAGTGCACGTGGCACCAGGACACCCTAGGCCGCAGGTCATCGACTGGGAATGCCTTGGTGTTCCCTCGGACAAGCTGGAGGAGAGGGAGGTCTGGGCTTCACTGCTTAGGCTGCTGCTCCCGTGACCTGGTCCCAGATAAGTGGAAGAAGATGGATGGATGGATAAAATGCTGCTACTATTTATTTCACATTTTCATTGCCTAATTGTAACGTCTAATTTACTCTTACCAGTAGGTATTTATAAAGATAGAAAAAGAGCTAGAAAAGAGATAAAATAATTATTGAGCAGAATTAAGTTGAGCTTCTCATGAGAAAGTTAAATGCCCACCCCTGTTATATACCAACAGTACAATATATCAACATATAAAAAAATGATTAAAAACATACTTAAACTGTAATTATTGCTATGTTTATCTCTAACATAATTAGTATGGTGCTTTATAAGAGTATTATTTTTCAAATAGAAATACAACAAATTGCTCTTTCAAGAGTTTGAGAAATGTGCAGACCAAGGAGTTTGATTGGTAAGGGATCAGAATTCAAGTAAAATAATTTTATGATAAATAAACGGTCAACTTGGTAAAAAAATTTTTTATCTATAGCTAAATTGTGCATTATTTTTATTTAAGAAGACAGGTGTGTTAGCAGCAATATTACAGTAGCATACAAATTACTGTCCTAATATCCAGTGTTACAGCTGGAAAACCTTAAATGATTTCTATTTGAATTCCGCATTGGACTGTTCTTTCAGAAATACAGCGAAAAACAAGACGGTGTTGAAAACACAGTAGTTTAGATGCCATAGCTTCGATAAATAAGGTAAGAAGGAGAACAGGAAATCAGCTGGGATGTACCGGGAATGTTCTAGTAAACCGTCTTCGTGTAAGGCACCGGCCAACGCCATGACACCGATATGTTGTAGGTAGAATGTGTATCGGCAATTTGACTTGTAATCTCAGTTTTTCACATTTTTACACCGTAAATTACCCGTTTATTAGTAATTACCGTTAGTCTGACCAGTAGATGGTTTGTACGGCGTCACGACTCAAGCAGTCACCTGGATCTCTGATTGGCTCAGAGCGCTGATCCGGGTACTGCGCTAGAAGGAGCCCATTAGCTAAAGGTACCAATATGGCGGAGGTAAGAGGGAAAACAGGGGAGAAGCAATCGATGTTAAATCGACATTTTTAAAATTTGTGTGCTGTATTTTTCATTTTTACGCAATCGATTGAAGAAACAATGCTTTTTGCCTTGTGTGTAGCGTGTTTCGTCTCATAATTGTTGTTTTTATTTCTCTTAAATATGCTTAAATGTCTGGACTGATCCTTCACTACGAGGCCTCTGCGCCTTCGCTCTCAGCTGCTTCGGTGAAGCGGCTGTGTAAATTCATACGTAAATTTAACGTTAGCTTGCTGGTTCAAGTAAATTGCAGACCATATAATCTTTATGGTGAATGGAAAAATATTTTTTAATGTTCAGGCTGGAGTAGCGGCACCTACGTTTAAAAGGTTGCTCGACTTTATCGATTGCAGTACCGCGCAAACGAAATTAGTGTTTACATTTTTCGGTGGACAGCGTTAACATTTGGATTTGGAAATAGCTTTCCGGCTAGCTAAGCAGTACTGGATCTGCAATGACATATACAACCGATTATACAAGGTTTTTTTTATTCAGTCCTCTGGGGAAATTTTTTATTCCAGCGTTTAAAAAAACGTATCTTTCCCTGAGTGTGCAGCTCGGCTAGCGTTGTATTAGCCACCTATATCAGGTAACATTAGCGACAATTGCAGTTTTCCTGCCCGGCTATTTTCTTGGGTCATATTACACACAACGTAAAAATATTTTATTGGTCATCCTGTTTTAATATTTGAGGTTAAAGTCCCCGAGTAATTTTTTTAATTCAAATTTTCTGTCTTGCTCCAATTTATGGTATTTTTTTTCTTTCTTTTCCAGGCTTCCCTAGGGAGTTCAAGTCCAGGTAATACAATTTACTGTGTAATCTATATTAAGGTGTGCTTTCAAAACTCTATTTTTACTTTTCACAAATAATAGTAAACAGAAATATCGAGATGAATTTCTGAAAATGTTATGAGTTTGTAATAAAGTAAGGTTTTGCTTATTGCACGATAACAATTTGGTATTTATAATTCTTTTATTTTTCTTTCCATTTTTCTCATTTAGTTGGCTCTTTATCATCAGAGGACCATGACTTTGATCCAACAGCAGAAATGTTAGTTCATGAGTATGATGATGAGAGGACTCTGGAGGAGGAAGAGTCTCTGGAAGGCGGAACAAATTTCAGATCTGAAATTGCAGATCTGGAAAAGGTATTATAATAAATCAGTAAATCCATATGCCATTCCAAATGCCATATGATAGGTGCAGTGTATAAATTTGTCCAACTTGAACATCTACTGTACTTCGTACATGAAAATGGTATAACCCTGTGAAATGGAATTGATACATTTTTCCATTCATTTTTCTTTTAACAGGAAGGGAACATGCCTTTAGAGGAACTGTTGGCCATTTATCGCTATGAGGCCTCAGCAGGCTCCAGTATAGACAGCTCCTCTGGAGACCTGACTGATGAGCTCCCCGACATGACTTTGGATAAGGTAAGGAGTTGCTGTTATTTGGTAGTTATACAGTTGCTACTTTGTAAAACAATGCTATATTTGTAACTTATGGTTTTTGTATGGTGTACAATTTATATTCCTTTTACCCACTAGGAGGAAATAGCTAAAGACCTTCTGTCTGGAGATTATGAGGAGGAGACCCAGTCCTCAGCTGATGATCTGACTCCTTCAGTTACCTCCCATGAGGCCACTGATTTCTTCCCAAGAACACTTAGATGTAAGTGATAGATTACTACTTTTAGATTAAAAGTATTTTATGTTTGCAACTGTCAGAATTAAATCTTTTTATTGTGTGCAATACAGTGATTAATGTGCTCATTTTTTTTTTTTTTATGTTTTTTGTTATAAAGGAGGGTCACTTACTCTTGTGCACTGTGAGATATTCACTTCTCCCACTCAGCTGTTAATGAAAAAGTTACTGTTAAGGTTATAAAGGCTCGTTGTCTAACAAAACATTTAGATAAAGATGTGTTAAGTGTGCAGCTAATGTAGTTATTTGTGTAAGTTAAGCTTAGCTTATCTGTCTCTGACTGTTGTTCTCAAGTCCATTTAAGACTAAATTTAATTTTTAGCATGTCCAAATAGTTCCGGATTTAAAAAAAGTACAAATAGGTTGGATTGGAAAAGTAACTCAAATAAAACCATAATTATAACACTGTAAAATAAAGACAAACAGCTGGGATTTGTTATGCAGTTTGCATAACAAAAATGAATCATTAGCTCAGTCATTTTACTGGAAAAATATTTTTGTCATAAATGTGTTTTTGCAGCTGTGTTAGTTACACAGCCAACTTACCGTGGGTTTGTGGTTTGAAACAGTGTTTGTTCTTTCCTACCTAAATTCTTTGGAAAGCTTCAAGTATGTTTGAGGAGATCTTACAACCTTTAGCAGAAAAACTGGAAAAAAAAATTTGGGTAAAACATCAGGCTTCGGCATTAAGCAGCTGCCATTTAAATTCAGGGTGTGCTAAAGTATGTAAGATTTACTAATTTTTAAACATTTTTTTCTTTTCTTTTTTTTAAAAAAAAATCCCCAGCAAACGCTATTTCTGACGGTGATAAAGAGTCAGAGTGTGATGAAGACGGCCCAAGCCCAGAGGACTCGAGAAAGGTAAATGATTTGTTTCATTTGGAAACATGTAAAGGATATAGTTTACTCGCTGTTTCATGTTAAGTTAGAGTCAGCTTGCTTTTGAATTCAGACATGCCCTCTTATGCTTTGTAATAGGAAATAATGGTGGGATTGGAATACCAAGCAGAAGTTCCTTCTTGCCTCTGTCACTACAAAGATGAGGAGAAAGGTGAATACTACTTTTTTTTTTTGCTTTCATCACACGTTCCTAATCTATTCTTTAATGTTGCTGCTTACAGTGTTGTTAACCATTCAATTAAGAATAGGTGATGTACATCTGGTGATTAATTTTAACATCATGTATTTGGTTGTATAGCATATGAAGATGAAGATGAGTTACTGTGGAGTCCAGGTGTATTATCAGAAAACAAGGTTAGAAGTTTCCTGTGTGAAGTATTGTCACGGACGACAGATGAAAAGACGGGGTGTGACAAACCAGGAATGCATGTGCGAGACAATGAGCAGGTCAGTCATGTCTTACTCAGTCCTTTACGTGGTTTGATAAAATGATGAATGTGTTATTAGCAGTGCACCTCAAGAAAGGTATTTTCTCTGACATTCATATTTGTTTAATTGTTTCTGATCAATTTTGGCAAATGCTATAATTTTTACTCTTTCATTCTTTCAATGTAGGCTTTATGTGAGCTTGTAAAATGCAACTACAACACCCGCGAAGCACTAGAAAGATATTGCAACCATGTAAAGTCCTCAAAAGGTAAGCAAGTGATTTCTCATTGTGATTCGTTTGCACCTCAAGACACTCAAAATGCTTCACATGTAGATTTCACTTTCATTCAAAGTCATTATTATACATGGGCCCCCCATTTTCAGTAATTAGACAAATGAGAATTGATGAACAGTTTCTTGATCATGTGAGGTCGAGCTGATTGCAAGTATTGGACTTGATAGCTGTTCACTGACATCAAAATATGAGAGATCTTAATGCAAATGTAGGAAGCCATGGGGCCAGGTAGGACATTAACAGGAAAAGGGGGGCACAAAGAAATGCTCTACTTTCTTATTCTCATTTAAAATGTCTAGCTTTTAATAAATAATTATCTGAGTCTTACAACCAAAGTGGTCATCTGATGTAAAATGTATAGAAATCATACATATACCAACAAGACTAGGACATCATTGTCACAACAGCGTTTGTTTTCATTCGCAGGCTTTATGGCTTTTCTTACAAATACCTGGTGGCCCGGTCTCTAGTCAAAATGCCCGGGCCAATTTCTTTTTTTTCTTTTTTTTGTCCCAGATCTTGATAAAAGATGTGTGTCATGAAGCCGTGTTGGCATTTATTTGCACTGCTTTCCACTCTGGATGTCTATTTATGTTAAGCTTTAAGTATAAAAGGGTCCATTCTACATTTTTTTTTAAGTTGTTGAATATAAACATTACTTTGTGCTGATATTGCACACTTTTTTCAGAACAAGAGTTTTTGAAATCTGCATAAAATTGCATTTTAAATTACTTTTGAATATTACTTTAAATATTATATATTGAATATTACCTTAAAGTTCTGCTAAAAGTTTAAATAAAAAGATTAGTATTGCTGAACTGCAAAATATTTTGGGTGTATTTTTTGCATGCATGTGTAATAGAATAGTTTTAGTGTTTTGTTTTTTAAAATTATAGTATGAGCTTGTACAAAATGCAGCAAGGTGTTTAAAAAACAGTTTTATTGATTATAAAATAGACTATATCGGATTCATATCAGTATCGGCAGAAATCCAAATTTATGATATTGGTGTTGGACATGAAAAAGTGTTATGATGCTATCTCTAGTCTAGTGTGTGTTACAATTTGCAAGGTAGCCGCTGTGAGTATTATAGGCCCTTAACATTTGCTGAAGATGGAGCTGAAGGCAGAAGATCCACAAACAAATAGAAATTGAACACGGCTCCAATGAAAGCATCGCGACAGAAATCAATACATTTGGTATTGTCCACGGGTGCTAGATCTGAGGCAAATTTAAACATTTGTTAAAAAATTATTAGTTTGTTCAATTACTTTTGAACCTTTGGAATATGGGAGACTATATATAAATGCCTGTTATTCCTAAATGGTTGATACTAAGTTTGGAATAATGGACCATTCAGTTGGGCTGAATTTTATTGGTGGGGTGTGTCTTGGTTTCGACATGGCCTGTGGTTACCTTTGCACACCCATTGTTAAAATGGATTCATGGTTTCATTGCAGAAAAATCACCTCCATGGTCTGAAGAGGAATGCAAGAACTTTGAACATGCTCTTCAGATGTATGACAAGAACTTTCACCTCATTCAGAAACACAAAGTGAGTGTGAATTTATGGTTCCTTTTACAAGTGTATGCAAATAAAAATGTATACAAAGTTTTGTAAACTCTGTCCCCCTCCTCTCCTCTCAGGTCACAACAAGAACAGTAGCAGAATGTGTGGCATTTTATTACATGTGGAAAAAGTCAGAGCGCTTTGACTTCTTTGTGCAGCAGAATCGGTTCGGGAAGAAAAAGTTCAGCAACTATCCTGGAGTAACGTAAGTGAAATGAAACGGAGTGTCTGTCTTTATTGCTTTGCTTCAATAAAATGGAAAAAAAAAGTTCACATAATATGGAAGAAACAAACCCAGTGACATTTCTTTGTTTCTAGTGACCTGATGGACAGGCTGGTGGATGAAGCGGAGGGGTTAGCTGTGGACAGTTCCTCCTCCGTGTGTTCAGGTGGTGGTGGTGGTGGACGGCTGGAAACAACCACAGAACAGCAGCTTAGCCTGCTCAACTCCATCACTGCCAGCGACCTCACGGGTTAGTTACGGACCTTAGTTGTGCAGCGATGGTTTAAAAAAATACAAAATAAATTACTACTTCTTGTTGTTAACTGTTTTGTGTCTTTGCAGCTTTGAGCAACACTGTAGCCACAGTATGCAGTCCTGCAGAGGTTAGCTGCCTGGACTCCTACAGCTTTCCTCCACTGGACAGTCTCCATCGAGGTTCCCTGAACCACGAGGAATCCCTTGGATTCCCTGCTAATGGTGCAGAACCTGACTGCCTCAATATGCTTGAGGCTGGCTTCTACCACTCAGATCTGGGCCAGCTGGGAGGTGTGTGCGTCAACAAGGACTGTGAGCGGCCCTCCAAGAGACTCAAGATGGCGCTGCCTGACTCCTTTATCAATGACGTATCCGTGGGTAACCTCGGAGTGGACTTTGATGCACGACGGACGACGACGCATCACCACCGAATCACCGGCGCCAAAATGGCAGTATCTGTCACAGACTTTGGGAGCTTGGCTGGGAGCGGTGAGCCCAACGGGTTTCTGGGAGCACATGCACGGCACCACACACAGCACACTGCAGCACTTCAGTCAGAGTGATCTTCCTCATCTTCTTCCCTGTTCTTCCCTTTTAAGATCCCTTTTTTTCCTGCTTGTACATAAGACTGACCTCACTGGAAAATTCAATTTGTTTAAATTCTATTATATATATATATATATATCTATATATATGTATATGACTATACTTTTTGTTTTCATTTTTTTGTGTAATATGACATCAGTGATGTCTATCATATAGAACTAAAATCTTGATTTCTCTCAAGAGTTTATATAGCCATTTATTTTATTTTTGTTTTGCGGTCTTGAGATGTGTAACGTCCATGTACAGCAGGGCCCAGGGGCTGCAGTAGGAGAGAGATGTCTCTTCCTCCTTCACATCTACACCCACCATCTTCAGAGCTTCAGTACCTTATCCTGCCATTCTTCTAGCTGCCAAAAACCTAGTTTCCCCAGCTCTGGTGTTAGCATTTAGTTGCCTGTATTTGTTGTTTAAGGTGGTACTATTTTTTTTTTTCTCTTTTTTTTTGTTTTTGTTTACAGGTACTTTCCAGTAACCCAACTTGTGCAAATGGTTTTTATATGATTTGAATCTACCTGGGTACATAACTGTACGAAGAGCAACACTAGCATGGAGATTAGCTTGGAAACCAGGAAGTGTCGTGGCTTAAGCTGCTAAGGCCATCTTGTTTGGGTTTATCTCTTTATGTTCTCTTGTGCTTTGTAGTCTGTCTGCTTATTTACCTTTGTTCAAAGTGGCCAATACTGGAGTTTTTTTTCCTTTTTTTTTCATTATTGCCCTTTTGTTCAACCCCAATTGATTGGCTTTTTTTTTTTTTTTTTTTTTTTTTTTTTTTTTTTTTTTTTTTTTTTCTTTACATTTTAAAATAGGTGATTGAAAAATACCGGAGCAAGTTAATATACTGGGAGTCACCTTGTTTTACTGTTGAGTATATAAATATATTTTTAAAATCCTGCTACTTGCTAGAATATCAACGAACCATAACAGCAATATTGCAATGCAAAGATTTTTGGTTGGGTTAATAGCCATTTAAACCTCGACACAGTAAAGTATGTATTTATTGCATATACTTTTCTCTTTCTAAAGTTTTATCTCACCCTTTCAGTTCATGCTTTCACTCACGCTACTCTTAGGCAAGTTAAGCTGTGTGTGTGTCCTAATTAAGTGGATATGTTCCTAAATCAAGTAGCGCCTTTTTTTCCCCAACCTGCTAGCAGTATTATTTTTTTTAAAGCTTCTCTGAGTTTGTATTGAACCTCTGCCTAGCCTGTACTGCCTAGTTATGCCTTTTTGAAATCCGGTTGACAATATTTTGGAGCCTAGTAGCAGAAATGGAGCTGTTTTTCGCTTGACTGAAGTTCATAATTGTGAGTTGTAAAACGTTTAGCAGGTCAGTTGATTGGATGCAGTAGTAGTGTTTACTTAATTTATCTATGCATTGTGCTATGACTATTTAGTTTGTTTCAGGGGTACATCATGTTTGTTGTGTCCATTCATGCCTAATAATCCTTAAGTTTAATCAAGCAGTTCAGTTTCAACGGCCAGCGTCAGAGAGGATAATCACATCTGTTTCATGTAAATAATTAGCAAATAGCCTTTAAAAAGTCTATTAACTGACCTCTTACACTTGTGAATCTGTGTTGATAAAAAGGTTTTACTTTGATTCCTTGTCAGAAAGGCAATAATTTGTAGATATGTACAGATATTTTGGGTTTTGCATTTTACTGGTTGACTTGGTGTTTTCATTTCTTTTCTCTCCTTGGAAAGTCACCCAGACACCAGGACACAGCTGAAACCACGCATGCCAGCTGTGCCCTGTTTCAAGTGTACCACTGAAAACGGCTTTACCTGAAGACGTATTGATATTACTTAATGTTGCAATTTTTGCATTCAAAACATGCAGCCATGTGTAAAAGACACTCATGTTTCTTTCCTTAAAAGAGTTTTTACATGTTGTCGTCGTCTATATTTGTCTCGATGGTAACGGGATGGCTGCTGCTGTAAGTGTGTGGAGAGCTAGTTTCTCTTTTAATGCAATGTGCATAATGCAGTAGGTCCTCCAAGCTCTTCTAGCTTTAGCAGTGCAGTGATATTTATTTCACCTGTGGTTTGTACAAAGACTCAGAAAAACTGTCAGAATGTAAAGGCCATTAAGTAGTAGAAGTAGGTTTTTCACCACCCTGTGAACTCTCGAAAATGTGATATTTTATTGATATCTCTGGTATGAGACTTGTGTGTGCAAGCAAGCACTAAACAAATTTATTTTATATTTTGTATTGTGTTTTGAAGTTTAAAAAAGAAAAAAATATAGCAGTTGTGGTTTTGAAGAAGGAAACAAAGTCCTTTGATGAAAATAAAAACACCTTTGTGAATAAAAACCTACAAAACTTAAAAATGTATATCCAGAAATATAGACAATCAAAAACTTCACTATGAGAAATGTTCAAGAAGCTATCTTTATTGTTTATAAAAATTGTACATAAACATTGAGTTTTTGGTTTGTTTTTTTTTTTCTTTTGTTAAACATTATTTTGTATTTTATGTTGTACTTTAATACCTTGTGTACAGATCCAGAAATAAAGCTCTGGAAAAGGTTCGAAGATTATTGCTGCATCTTTATCATTACGGTTACTCTTTACATGAGAGCGGCTGTTTAACAAAACTTGAGGCTTAAATTCCACGTGACATAAAAAAAAAAAAAAGTTTTAGTCATTAGTTTTTGGACCAAGTATTATTTACAGCCCCCCCAAAACTGACAAAATCTCAGCTCAAGTTCTGCTTACCTGCCTGTTCCATCTGAACCAGCCTTAAATCCTTACAACCACAGGTTGGTAGGGAAAATGTATTGCTTGATTGGTTAGCAAGTGGTTGCTGATTGTTGCTGGGTGAAATTAGTCACAAACCATGTGCTATACCAAAATAAAACCTTGCACTTACTTTGGTCTCTATCAGATTGCTTCAGGTGCCCACAGTTTGTATGGAAGACAGCAACATGTCTGCAAACACTTGTCAACTATTAAGTAGTAAATGAAAACATTTGTCTACAAAATAAAAGCTGTCCAATCAACACAAAGGTGCAACCTTTACTTTGTAGGCAAAGCACTAAAAAGTACTTTTCCTAGTCACACTAGGGAAAATGGCTAGAGATTGAATAATGAACAACATTATTGGGACTGCGTGCAATAAACTCGCTGTCTTTTTCTTTTAAAATTGTTCCTTCCTTGATATGAGATCAGGTTTGCAACCACTCACTGCCTGATTGTAATTCATTGATTAATTAACTGTTAAAAATCTGCAAAATGGCTACAGAAATTCTCAACAACTACTTATATTCAGCCAGAACCTTACAGAGACATTCCTCCACAACCAGTGATATAGTTGCTGGAGGACAGTGATTTAGCTGCAAAGTGACATTGGCACTCAGCAATTTTGCTTTTAGGAACCAGAATATAACACTTGAATAAAGCAAATTAATCAAGCCTGAGATGAAGCATATTGGCCACTGCAAAAACTGCCATTGCCAAGCTCAGGTTCAGAGCCAACATGTATTACAGGTAATAAAATTCCCTAAAATAGAAAAATAGTTAATGATAATATAGATTATCAACTTAGATTGCAAACAAGAGGACCTTGAGCTTGACTTTTTTGTCAGTTCACTAATTTGACTTTTAATTAAATAAAAACAAGTTAGACAAAGAGCAGACAATTTCACCTTACATCATAAAATATACAGACAATTCCTCTGCTTTTAGCCAAAAACACTACCAGCTTTATACACACTAAACCAGCTGCTTATTACCTTGATCTTCTGAGAGAGATCTGTAGAGTGAGAAAGTCCTCTGCCAGAATCACATCTACCCCAGTATCCTGCAAAGCCTCTTCAGCCTGTCTCTTTAACTCTGAAACATGGTCTTCATCTCCTTCCTTCACCATGGTGCTGGGTTTGTACCGCTGACTGAAGTGATTTAGCACCAGCCTCCGTGCACAGCAAGCCCGTGCTACTGCCGCTGCCATCTCAGGTGTGCTGTGCCCATGGTCCACTGCTTTCTCTCGGTGCTCGTTCCCAAGGGTGGCCTCGTGAACCAGAATGTCCGCTCTGCTGCACAACCTCTGCGGCCCTTCCCCAAGCACCGAGCTACAGTCCCCTAAAATGCAGACTTTCCTCCCAGGAATAGCTTCTTCTAGCACCTCACTAGGCTGCACCACACGCCCGCTTTCAAGAGTTACTGACTCCCCAGCTTTGAGGCGCCCATAGAGAGGGCCTGGTTTCAGGCCTGTAGGATACAAAATGAGATCAGCTGCAAGGGTTGCTTTTCTGAAATTGTTTCTTGCATTAATAAATAATTGGTGACGACAGTTATTTCCATCTACTTTATATGCAGGGAATTTATATTTCTAATATTACACAAATAATGAAGAGATATCAAAAGAACAGAAAATACCTCTCACCTAGTTCCTTCAGTAGTTCTGTTTTCAACCTTCCAGGTCGATCTCGCTCCTGAATGCAAAAACCAAAGGAAGGGATGCGGTGAAACAACCTGAAGGCTTTGACCACAAACTTCTGGTCTTCAAAGAGAAGATAAGTGTCACTGGAGACATCCAAGGAGATTGTTCTGCCTGGTTGCTCCTGAGGATGGAGAGGGCCGCACTCTGCTGCCATCTGGGGAGACAGAGAGGTGCTAGTATTCGTCAGAAAAAAACAACATACAAGTGGACAAAATACAAAATGTAAATGCTCAGGTGGAAACTGCCATAACTGGTGAGCTGAGGAGATATGCTCAAACATGTACCAACGCAAGTCAAAGGAGGCATATCAGCAACAATTTGCACACTGATGTCTTTTAAATAAACAACTAAACTATCATGCACAGTAATAAAACAAAACAAAACAGAAAAAAGCTACAATTTAAAGATGACCCTAAACACATCACACACAGGGAAGTAATCATGTAAAGAGGAAAGCTGTGAAGATGCACTTTTCTGGAGGAAGAGTATGACTGTCCTGCATGACAGGAAATCGTATATATTTTTATAAAAACATAAATGAAATGATGAACCCACAAAAAGAGAATTTTTTAAATCTTTTTGGCTAACATGGACTTTTTCATACCTCTTCAAAGTCTTTTTTTAGGGCTAAGATCAACTTTTAAAGTAAAAGCTGGAATTAAGTTTAGATTGAGGGTTTAGCACACAGTTAAACCTAGGGGTAAGAATCTTAAGAAGGTATTACTGTCAGTGAATGTCCTCACAAATATAACCTGAGCCCCCTAAACCTAAACCAAAATTAGTAGCAACAACTGCAATCAAGCATTTGCAATAACTGGCAATGAGTCTTTTACAGCGCTGTGGTGGAATTTTGGCCCAGTCATCTTTGCAGGATTGTTGTAATTTAGCCACACTGGAGGGCTACGTGTTCCTTTTGGTCAGCAGTGGTTTTCTCTTTGAATTGTCCCATGGATGCCATTGTATAAAGAGTTTTTTAATAACACCTAAGAGATGCATGTATTATGTGAAAGGTATCGGTCCCAGCACAGAACCCTGTGGAACTCCATGACTACCTTTGATGGGTCACTGTTTACACTTACACTCTGTCAGATCAACACGATTGGTGTAGCCAGTGGTGTATTTAAGTCTGTATTAAAATGTTGTGATGAGCAATACTGAAAGCTGCACTGAGGTCTAGCAGGACAAGGACTAAGACAAGACCACTGATAGAGGCCATAAGATCACTAGTAACTTTCACTACATCTTTATCATTTTCTAAATAGAAAAT